ACGACAGACGCTTCGGCCTACGGCATTGGCGCAGTGCTGTCCCAAGAGGGACGCCCCATTACAATGATCTCTAGGACATTGTGTGACAGACAGGTTAACTACGCTACCAATGAAAGGGAGCTATTAGCCATAGTCTGGGCGCTAGCCAAATTGCGACACTACCTGTATGCGGTCAAAGAAATAAACATCTTTACCGACCACCAACCTTTGACGTTTGCGGTATCGGAATCGAATCCGAACGCCAAGATTAAGAGGTGGAAAGCACGCATCGATGAGTCTGGCGCAAGAATGTTTTACAAGCCCGGAAAAAATAATCTCGTTGCAGATGCCCTCTCGAGGCAACAACTCAACGTTGTTGAAAACCAGGAACCTGAGTCGTGCGCGGCCACAGCGCACAGTGAGCTCTCGCTCACATACACGATGAGTCTACGGACAAACCCGTAAATTGCTTCCAAAACCAAATAATTTTAGAAGAGGCGCGCTCCCCTTGGAAACGCACTTTTATACTATTTGGAAATAAGAGGCGTCACTCAATTAACTTCTCGTGCAAACAGACTTTGCCAGAGGAACTTGCCAACACCATTATCCCTAATGGTGTGAATGCCTTCCACTGTGATCTGTGGGTTGAAGAGAGGAAAGAAATCCTCACCGCAGAGCACAACAGAGCTCACAGATCGGCCCAAGAGAATGTGAAGCGGGCACTCTCCGACTACTACTTCCCCAAGATGACTAAATTGGCGAGCGAGATAGCTGCCAATTGCAAAACCTGCGCCAAGGCGAAATATGATAGGCATCCAAAGAAACAGGAGCTCGGTGAAACACCAATCCCGGGCCACGTAGGAGAAATATTGCACATCGATATTTTCTCAACGGATAGGAAATACTTCCTCACCTGTGTAGACAAGTTTTCGAAATTCGCCATGGTGCAGCCGATCCAGTCTAGAACCATAGAGGATCTAAAACCACCCCTGCTACAATTTATGAATGTTTTCCCCAAAGCCAAAGCCATATACTGCGACAATGAACCATCATTGAAATCGCACACAATAGTGGCCATGCTGGAAAACCATTTCGGCGTCAGCATCTCGAATGCACCGCCCCTCCATAGCGTCTCCAACGGACGGATGGAACGCTTCCACAGCACGTTGGTCGAGCTCGCTAGATGCCTAAAAATCGATAAAGGCATAAATGACACGGTGGAGTTGATCTTGCTAGCCACAGCCAGATATAACAAGTCCATCCACTCTGTCATTAACAAGAAACCGGCCGAGGTCATGCGGGCAGATCCGGACGATCCACAAAGTGATTCCAGGAAAAAAATCAAAAACGCCCAAAATTTGACTAGAAACCGAGAAAACGCCTCTCGGCGGAACAGAGTCTTCCAGATCGGCGATAAAGTCCTAGTAAAGTCAAACAGACGACTAGGCAACAAACTCACTCCCTTATGCGAGGAGAGAACTATCGAGGCAGACTTGGGGACCACAGTCCTAATTAAAGGGAGGGTGGTCCACAAAGACAACCTCAAGTAACCCGAACAGAGCCCAGTTGCGGTTTCCCCCGGAGTTTCTTTTTATTTTCATTCTTTTCATTTATAGCCACTTGGCATATGTTTTTTATTTCTTTTGTTTTTCATCTATAGCCACTTGGCATAAGTTTTTTATTTGTCATTCATAGCCACTTGGCATAGGTTTTCAATATTTTTCGCTTCCCATAGCCACTCGGCCTAATTTTTTAACGTTTACTTTACTTCCGCTTATTCGTCTATTGGTGGTGGGCAACTCCATTCTGTATATTTATTAATCAACCACACATATTACAGGTCGTTTCCAACGCTTCTACCTTGTCTCTTGGCGGTGGCATCGGCCCACGTCACAGATTACACCCACGCAAATTATATTCCCGTCATCGACGGCCAAGTCTTAGTATGGGAGGAATATGCCTACGTTAGACACTCTGCTAACCTCTCCGAGTATAGGCGAGTGATTGACGATGGTTGATATGTTCCCCGAATCCCATATGAAGAAGCTCCTGAGCATTGACATCGCTCACCTTCGTGACATGCTCGACTCGTTGAGCGTCCATCACAGAGTGGCCAGGAGCCTAGACTTCTTGGGAACTGCGTTGAAGGTTGTCGCAGGGACACCTGACGCCGAAGACTTTGAGAATATAAAGTTCACCGAAGCAAGACTAATTGATGCACACAATAGCCAAATTGAAATTAATACTAAAACACAAGTTCGAATTAACGAACTTACCGACACTGTCAATCAACTCTTAAAGATTTCCAAAAATAAGCAAATTGATACAGGCCATCTTTACGAAATGCTATTAACACGCAATAGAATCATTGTCATGGAACTTCAGAACCTTTTGCTTACAATCACACTCGCAAAAATAAACGTAGTTAGTCCAGTTTTCCTGGACCATGCAGATTTGGCGAATGTTTGGGGCGAGGAGCCCACCAACACCCCCATAAGGGAAATTCTGTCCGTTGCGTCCGTAAAAGTTTTACAATCCCTTAACGTTTTGCATTTCATTATAAAATTCTCCAAGATTGTCATGGCCTGTAACAAGATCACCGTCTTCCCAGTGGCCCACCATGATACAATGTTGAGGTTAGATAACAATATGGTGGCAGAATGCAATGGAGAAATCCGTACCGTGAAGAACTGCTCCAGATCACCCGGGGCGACGTTTTGCCAGTTATCTTCGGTGAGCTCGTGTGCCCAAGAACTCCACGCTGGAGGCATGGCACATTGCGACACGCAGCAGAGCGACCTACATCCTATCACCTACGTCGATGAAGGAATTATTATCATCAATGATAGACCAGCACTCGTGAGTGTGGATAATGGAACAACCATCCACGTTAAAGGTACGCACCTAATAACATTCATTGTGAGTGCCATGGTCAATGAGACCGTCTTCACAAACCACGACATGGTCCAGAAGAGGGCACCGGGAGTAGCTAACTCTCCTGTCCTTAATATCTCGATGAAACACGAGATCCTGAGCCTGCCATACCTTCACCGCTTGAGTGAAAAGAATTTGGAGCAAATCAGGAAATTCGAACAAGACGTCGACGGATACCGACTAAGTCAGATAGCGCTAATTGCAGGAGCAATTTTCTGCGCTCTCATCTGCATCGGCCTAACCTGCCAACGAGCCATTAGGGTCAAGAAATCCACAGCCCAACTTAAGGAAGTACTCGCCAAAATAGGGTCGGCCGAGGACGGCCTCAATCTTGAGGGGAGAGTAGTTAACTAAGTTAACCGGACTGATCGTCCGCTGACCAGCACCGGTCAAATTGCTGACCAAGCATTTGGCCGGAAGCTCGAGCATAGCCGGCAAAGCTCTGCACTTTGGCAGAGGCCGCTATGAAGCTTTTTCCTTTGTTAGCTTTAAGCAGTTCGTTTTGGACACTCTTAAAATAAAGAGCCATCGCTCAAGAACCAACAACTCCGGCGTTCTGTCGTTAATTTTATATTTGATCATAGCAATCTGAGTCCCTGGGCCAGTTGCATTACGGAAGGCAGTCACCTTCCCAACGTAATCGTCGTAAATCTCCAAGTGGATTTATCACCCCCTTCCCTGCACGAGGGACACCATCAGCCAACAGGCAAATCATTGGAGACCGCAGCGAGGGATCCTCCGGCGGCCACCAGGATCTTAATAATTTGTATACCAATTTATCCAGACGAAGAAATGCCAACTCTGATGATACTTTCTTTTGGCTTTATGTTCTACACGCTAATAAACACGTATTTAATTATAATTTTAATTATTATTTTCAGCACTTACACCTTCCATCTGTTCATCTCGTTTAGTTTTTTTTTCTCGGTAAGGACCCAAATTATGGGACTGCGAGGTACTAGCCTTTTTAACTAAGTTCACACAACCCCATTTAGTTATTATTTCATGGTTTATGGTAGCTATATACGATCCTTTATGTTGTATGGTAGCTTATCGTTGACCGATCATCGATTTTGGCCTAAGAGTAGGCACGGTAACTGGCTATGACTTGAGTCATATCAGGTGACTGCACTATACAGTGTAACTCCTCCCACTGTATACTTTTTCACCACTACCAGCTACCAGAGGGTCGGCCCTTCCGCATTGGTTTGCGTAATATTCACCACGGTGTTCCATCGGCAGACATCAACGAATGCCTGCAGAAAGAAGGCCACCACGTTGTTCGCATATATACCTCACGCAACAAAAGAACGCAACTCAAGAAGACACCCGGACCGGACGACATTGACAATCATGCAGCCAAATACCTTCAACGCAACTCCTTTCCTGGGCCTAGTAACAATTTATTACGCCATGCTGGGACTAGGGCACTTTCTAAGAAATGAAAACGTGAACGGATTGTCATAATACCCAAAGTCGGCAAACCTCCAACGCAAACCCTAAACGTATTCTGCTAATGCGATTGATGGAACTGCCGCAGGTATCAGGCTATATACCTCAATATCAATTTGGTTTCAGGAAATCACATAGTTGCCCGGAACAAGTTTACCCCATCGTCAATCACGTAATAAACGGCTTTGAGTCCAAGCTCTACACGGTGGCAGTCTTTCTCGACGTTAAGGAAGCCTTCGATAAAGTATGGCACGAGGGACTTTTGTACAAAATTAAAGCTCTCGCTTTTCGGCACCTTTGAGTTGGCAGTGAGAGACTATCGTTCCAGCCTGCCTGTTCTACAAGGAAGTGTACTTTGACCCTTCCTGTACACCCTTTACACAGCAGATACGCCAGTGTTTTCTAAAATGTTTTTCTTTCCCTTTTTTTTAAATTTCTATCGATATTCCAGAAAATGTTTAAATATCTCGTTCGCACTTCCACTAGCTGAGTAACGGATATCTGATAGTCGGGGAACTCGACATGCTTATGAATAATAATCATTATATTCGATTTATCCAGAAATTAATTTAAATTAAAACACCTAGAATGATGACACCTAGAAGAATGAGATTTTGAGGCTGACACCAAAAAAGTATATTATTATCATTACTCAATGAAATCTTTTATTTAAATTAAAAAGAAACAACATTTATTTCAAGGAGTTTATATCCTTTTCACACGTTCTATAAGCGGCGCCGATTCCAAATCCAGCTCCGAGCCATACAGGCCATGCTCGTCTCCTTAAAATTATCAAAGATACAGCAGATCCAACAATAACGCCTCCACCTGAAAAGTAATATTTTCTTTATCCGATCTCAATTCAAGGATTTGAATATTTGTGTATCAGAGCTCCATAATTATTTTTGTTGTTGACTATTCACCCATTTTTTGAATGTTGCTCGGATTTAACTAAAAAAAAGCCCATTCTTGTCATTGTACGCAAAGATTAAATTTCTCTTTAGGACTTCTATACAAAAATTATATTTTTAACAAAAGCGATAATTCGCTCGTCACTCTTTCTAAAAATATTTACTTGTTCACCCGAAAACGTTCTATGTAAGCGTACCGAATGAGTGAATTTTAGTGTTTTCATATAGTTAGGTGCAAAAGTTTTTTGCCATAAAAGTTGACACTCAGACCTTTTATAAGTTGAGGGTGCGACTGTTCTTGTGCGACTGTCACTATTTTTTTCCCTCGTCAATAGATTGTTTTTTTTTTATATCAGAAGTTTTTGGAGTTTTTTCATTTCCCACTACTTGATTAATTTTTCAACAATACTACGACCAAAAGTAGTTCGCTTCACTTTAGTACCGTTATAAGTGGCAAGTGTAGCCAGAAAAAGTATGCGGACACACTCAATGCATAACTTTGATGGCCGACTTCATTTCTTTTTTATGTTATAAACACATTTATTATTAATATTACCAGAGGGCTTTCTTAGCTTTAACTACTTAACTTATTTTATAGAAATTAAAAAGGTACAAATTCATGGGATATGGCACAAAAAAAAGTACGCGTACAAACTGAAAATGGTACTTGTAAAAACTTATGCAGTTTTTTAAACCGTTAGATCAGAAATAACGGTGATAAAAGCACAAGAATCTTCCTAATGGGCAGGAAGAAAAAGAATACATACATATGTATGTAGATGTATTTTTATAAAACTAGGGAAGAAGTTGGTGACTCTTGAGACCTAAGTAACAAAAAAATCATTAAACTAATTTTACCTCCTTGTGTGGTATTAAGATAACACATTTACAATAGCAAATATACATAGCATTTGAAAATGCCTATCTAACGACATACATATAATACACGTCTTAAATCAAAGACATTCAAATAACAAGATGCGTAACGCCATATGATATTTTTGCACACGATTTTGTTATGCTGGCCTTAGAACTGGCTCCAGGCCAGGGCATTTTTGTTTAAAACCCAGATAAAGAACGCACTCTTGTACGCATACAGAGACAGTCGATCCCTGTATGTGTACACATGTAAGATCATATATTGTAAATTTGACCATTTACTTTACATGTTCTTTAGCACATGTATCCGAAAAATATACATGTCTTATTATGCGATACTAAATTTTAAGTCCTAACAAGCCAAATTATAATTTTATATCCTCTGCTGGGGTATTAAAAAAATGACATTTGAAATCTTGTATGTACAAATTGTATGCAAAATATGTTACGTAAATGTTTATACTCACATCCTTTTATTAATATATCAGAAACGCAGCGATCCAACCTTTTACCTATTTGTTCCTCGCTAAAATTATTCTGAGAAGTCATTTTTTGCTGAAAAATTGTTACAAATAACAATTAACACCGAAAATATTTAGTCAAACATGGATTGGTCAATCCAAAATAACAGTAGTATGTAACCACCACTTAGCGTTAAGCTAGCACCGGTGATGATATCTCAATTGAGGAACTGAGGAGAAATGAACACTGGTTCATTTTCTACCCTTGCAGAGGGAATTATGGGAAGTTGAAATTTACCATGTTGATTAATCGAAATATAAGTGGAAAATATATACCTTAATTTTTTTTTTACAATTCATTAATTATTCGCTTTTATAATTCGGGAAACAATTTTTGGGCTATATATAATTTAATCAAACAAGGAAGGCTATATGATATAGCTGCTATAGTAAGTCAGAAAACAAATTTGTCAATATTAAATTTTGGTTAGCCTACGAACAGTCAGAATTTTAATAGATAATAATAACACAGCAAACCAGTTTCGAAGTTATTTATACCTTATAAGCTTCCTATTGCCGTATATGGCATCCATCTTGTTTCGACTAATTATTTATTAGTTTTTTTGAGATCTATTTACAAAATTTAAAGTCCAAAAATGTTTGGAGATGTAAGATGTAATTATTAACGTACATATGTATTAAAGATAAGACCGTTATAAAGTCATAAAAAGACTTAAATTAAAACGACTTAAAAGACAAAATTACTTTGACATTGTCGTGGTTCACACGTTTCTTTAGACTTCGGGAGGACTAACGATCGTCGGAAAATACTTCATAAACTATACAGTTTTGCAATGGTTAAATGGATTTCATAATACCGCAACTCTAGTAGTATTTATGGTAGGGTAATACATGTCATGCCCCGTATTAAAAATAACGATGCTATACATTACTCCTTATAAAAAACACGGTATCTTAAACTTTTTTAAATTTTAGTATCTATCTATGAAAAGTTGTATGAAGTTATGATCCACCGTTTTCAAAAAGGCAATATTTCCCGTGTTTTTACACTTACAACAGGCTCTACAGAAGCGAACTTCAACAATACTCGATATCCATGACTATTGGAAACATGTTACTTATCTAGTAGCAGGATTTTATTATGCTAGGCACAGCTCCATCTATACAAGGATGTAAATTTTGAAATTTCTTCACATTATGCAGGTCCTTGCTATTTCCTATGGACCACAATGTCGAGCAAATGATTATTTGCGTTCCAGTGCTTGCGTTCAAACACACTGCGTGTATCCGATCAAAGTTCTTTCTTCATGTATCCATCGGTTTTAATGCGCTCTGTTAAGTCGTTTTTCTCATAGCTGCCAAAAAAACATAAATTCACCTGTTGATAGCTCATCGCCGGATTTTTAGCGTAGATCCACTAGCGTTAGAGATAAAAGCACAAAAACACGAGATGTTTTTCCTTGGCAAATTGTAAAGGTCTAACTTAGGGAATGCAGAATGCAACTACCGCTTTAAGCTGCTGTCCAAGGGGTCCCTTGCTTCTTCGACAATTCGATTTGCCAACGCACAGGGCATGTGGGATTGCAAAATCTGTTTGCAGTCTGCGTTTTGTAAGGGGCTACACACATGGTTCTAAATGTTTCTTTGCGAATGGGATCACAAGTCACCATTTCGACCAACTAAATTTTGTTAGGAGAATCATTTTAGAAAGCGAGGTTTTCGTTATTTCCGTTTTTATTTAATAAGTGTTTATTAAGAGTTTAATAAGTGTTGCAAATTAAATATCATCAGCTTTACAAGGTCCTTTACAGGTGTTCTTTTACTAAGGCGAATATAACATAATAATTAGGCATTCTAAGAAAACCCTAGGCAGGGTTTTAACTGATGTGCTCGCAAGTGATAGGACGGCGATCATAGTTATTGCTTTTCTGGCGAGACTTTGCGGGGCTAATGACAGCCAATCGATATGAGAGGGGATGCGTTTGGCTATTTTATTAGTACCGTGGTGATAGTTTGGAGGTTTTGACTGGCTAACCGCCACCGGTCTTGCAGCGAGGACAAAAAATATGTGCTCCACCTCCTCCAGACTGCTGATCTGGTATACTTGTTGCCAACGGTTGAGGGGACCATTATTTAGGTACGTTACGGCAGGATCGTCGATCGTCAGTATCTGAAATAGTGTTGAGTGGCCGTTAATGAGAGATTGCCAACTAATTAGGGTTGCCAACTGCGTGGGGAAAATTCTACTTATCTAACTTAACGGACGCGTCCCAGAATTCACCGAAGTGGGGCGATCAAGGTTGAATGAACTAACAATTGGTCCCCGAGCTCAGAGTGTTGTTGGCGATCTGCATGTCAGATAAGAACAAGTTACGTAGCTAAATCACCTCATTACCAGTGCTCACAACATTGGTAGCGTTTTCCATACATTATTTATTCACCCGATGGCCCGATTATTCACCCGGGCCAATAAAGTTTGCAAATCGCTGCTAAGAGAGATAGCGGTAATGTGGACAAATGTTCTTCTGAAGTAACCGTGGGTGCCTTGCTTCCTACGACAGATGGCGTTCTCCGATACGCAAGAGCCCATTGTCCCACATTGTGCATAGGATCTCAGCTTGCTTCTAGGAGGCAACAGGCTATTTGTGCATACACGGGTACATTCATCCCTGAAGTGCACAATTTGAATATTTTTCAGCAGTAGTTGGGTTCCACACTTCAGGTCATCTATACTAAGTTCCTTGCGTCCAGCAACGAATGAGATTTAGAATTCGCTGTTACAGCTAAATCTGTGCTTTGCGAGGATATCATCGACCTTAGGGGACGTTCCGTAAGATCGATTGAATGTCTCTTGGGTTGGGACTCATCAACACAGTTCGCTCGCAAGAAAGTAGGTTCGTGCGTCCAAAGTGCAGTGTTCAATAGTTCCCGGGAAGTGTATCCTCCTTTTGAAACTAGCTTGCGCTTGATACCATTACCTATTGGTCCTGATGATGACAAATATACCAAATTTTATACGGTGTACCCATTGAATTCTCTTTCTTCTGATAAGAATGCATGCAGACAACCAATTTTTGTTTGGTACATGTATTTCGGCAAGCTCATTTAGTAAATGGTGTTCTGTTTTTAAGCACGTGTAAATCAACAATTATTTAAATTTAATATTTGGATATTAAACGTTTATAAAAACTAAAAAAATAATAATATCCATGGGTAAAAGGCTAAGTTAAGTACATTTATTAGATAATCAATAGTAGCACAGATAGGCTGATTTGGGAATCATTTATCGTTCTGCAAGAAAATGGTTCATGATCCAAAGCCCGAATGATTACCAAGTTTCTAAAGGATGTTTACGTTACTGTCTTAATTGTGCACCTCAAAGTCCAAGCAAAAGAACAGTATCGCTACACAAAACTCGAGAGGACTTGATTTCTGAGATCACTTCCCTTTGGAAAGAGAGACCTCCAGAGATCCTTCACAATTTGGTGGATTCAGTAAAGAACCGACTCAAAAAAGTTATGAATGCCAAAGAAGGATATACAGTGTATTGATTTTTTCAATACTCCTTAGCTATAGCTAAATTTAAATTTATTGCTTTGTTTGTCAAAATCCTATTAAATGCCGATACAAAAAATGATTAGTACAATTTTGGTTATATTTAAATTCCGTGCCTTTTGAATGTTAGTTAACTTAATACCTGTTAAAATGATCTTATAATGTTATAATGATGCAAACTCGTACGAACGAAGGAGTAGGAGAGATAGAAAAGCTGATATATCCTATCAGATAGGTAAAAATTGTATTAAAGTTTGTAACGTTTGTTTGTAAAGTTTGTTTGTTGGAAGTGAGGAGAAAAACCAAGATCATCATTAAATTTTATATTATATAACTAGCAACATCGGATTTCATATTTATTGTAAATGATGCCATTTTATGTTTCTGGTCAGCTAATGGTATTGTGAGACCCTGTTGAAAACGAATACATTAAAGAGATTCATGAATCCATGAAAGAGCCGCTGTTGAATCACTCCAACGGTGCTATACACATGTAATGGGAAGTTCTTCTGAAAGTACCGGCCTTGGAACTTTTTAGCGTCAGCGGAGCGACTCATGACTTGTTAATTTAGGCTCAGAGACAAAGTGATGACATTTTTAACCAGCCGTTGAGAGCTGATAAGTGAATAGTGTGAATTTGGTTGATTTTGTGTAGCTTTTTAGTAATATCTGCTCGCATTCTGTATCTTCATCGCACGCTGGAGGCGAAGGAGGCAAATGCAATGCCGATTTGTCAAAATCCCAAAATCGTTTGACTATATCTGACAACGAATCCTACTCTTTGTGGTTGGCCCGTTATCAAGAACTGCTTAACTAACTCAACCCAGTTATCGAAAGGTTCCTCAGTTATCTTCTATACGGATGTGACCGACGCAAACCAAGTCGATGAACAAACCAGCTCCAAGCAATACATTATCTGATATTTGAAAAACGTGGAGTCTGCGAGTGATATATTTTTAAGGATGTTCCTGTTGGCGATGTCGAAAATGAAATTAAGCTGGTAATTAATGATTGATCGTGTTATGAGTGCTGAGAAGATTTTGTTAAGTGACTAGGCGGTAACATCAGTGAATATGGTGAATATGAATAATGATCCTTGATTTCCCAATCCAAGATTTTGAGACAGCTGAATCACGAACTTAAATCTGAATTTGCCTAGATAGGCCTGTGCTAGTTTTGGCGTATATCATAGCGATAGGAAGAATGATGTCTTTTGGGGCATGAATTTTGGGTGTCAGTTTTGTTCAGGCGTATTGGTGACTAGAACTGACGCCGAAGAATTTAACGGCGGACTTTCGCTTTGCTGGGATGTTATAGAAAGTTGCGAGCTAGATGCATATAGAATAGGCGCGTGAGTTGCACTAGGGGTCAGAAACAGCTGTTACGCCAGCGTTTTAGTGCCCGGGTCCTGCAGAAGGACTAGGGCCGAGGGAGAGGCATCCGATGTTCAGGCACCAGGTTGCCAGCGTAAGCTCGTCGTATTTAGTCGTGGGATCTTGGTAAGCCTCTTACCTCTCCAACATAACGAAAATATTTAAAGTGCATGTAAAAAAAAATAACATTCGGACCGTTCGACAGTCAGCCCTCACTATCACTGGCAGTCCCCACAAGCTTAGCAGTTAGCTTGATCGTAAAAAAGATCGGGCAGTGT